ATTTTGAATTCTTTTCGGAATTAATAGAAATCTCAAGGTAAACCCAAATCTAATGGAAATTGAAACGATTCCCAGCGAAATTTGGGTAGCGTTTTTTTGTCTGTCATAATTTTAGCGATTAAAATCAATAAATAATATGTTAAAAAATTATACTTTTTTAAATTAAAGTTTGTAACTTTATTTAAAAGCGTTATTATGGGAGACATATTAATATTTGGCTAAAAATGAGTTTAGGGGACATGGAACGAATGCCCGATAGTTTATTATATTTTAATAAATTCTGAAATTAATCAGCAATAAATGCAATTACTCTTAATAAGTAACGTTATACAAAGTCGTTATATTTTGAAATTTAATTATCGTTCGAACTGTTTATTTCAAACTTAAGACAATAGGATTTATTCATAGTATGTATGTTATCGAAATAAATGATGGAGTTTTAAACATTTTATAAATGTTTGAAAATTACGGAACTTAAGATATCATTAAATATATATATATTTTTTTTGACTCTTATAAATATTAACATCTTGTATAATTTACTTGCAATTAATTACACAATCTACCAGTTTTTTCCAATTCACCATACGAGGGTGGATTATCCTGGTCGGTATTTAAATTTGTGTGTTCCTGCTCGTTGCCGCTGCTAACTTGTAAATCTTTATATAACTTGTAGATGGGATAAAATATCAAGACTTGTAAACCTGTAAAGAGGAATCAGATAAATAAAATTAGTTTAGGAACAACATTTCGATAGATAGATATATATAGATAGATAGATAGATAGATAGATAGATAGATAGATAGATAGATAGATAGATAGATAGATAGGTAGGTAGGTAGGTAGGTAGGTAGATAGATAGATAGATAGATAGATAGATAGATAGATAGATAGATAGATAGATAGATAGATAGATAGATAGATAGATAGATAGATAGATAGATAGATAGATAGATAGATAGATAGATAGATAGATAGATAGATAGATAGATAGATAGATAGATAGATAGATAGATAGATAGATAGATAGATAGATAGATAGATAGATATAGATAGATAGATAGATAGATAGATAGATAGATAGATAGATAGATAGATAGATAGATAGATAGATAGATAGATAGATAGATAGATAGATAGATAGATAGATAGATAGATAGATAGATAGATAGATAGATAGATAGATAGATAGATAGATAGATAGATAGATAGATAGATAGATAGATAGATAGATAGATAGATAGATAGATAGATAGATAGATAGATAGATAGATAGATAGATAGATAGATAGATAGATAGATAGATAGATAGATAGATAGATAGATAGATAGATAGATAGATAATAGATAGATAGGTAGATAGATAGATAGATAGATAGATAGATAGATAGATAGATAGATAGATAGATAGATAGATAGATAGATAGATAGATAGATAGATAGATAGATAGATAGATAGATAGATAGATAGATAGATAGATAGATAGATAGATAGATAGATAGATAGATAGATAGATAGATAGATAGATAGATAGATAGATAGATAGATAGATAGATAGATAGATAGATAGATAGATAGATAGATAGATAGATAGATAGATAGATAGATAGATAGATAGATAGATAGATAGATAGATAGATAGATAGATAGATAGATAGATAGATAGATAAATATGAGATAGATAGATATTGTTAAATGTTAAACATATTCCTCCCTTCAGCCAATTTACGTGAAATGAGTTCCCTTCACGCCCAATTCGTTCGCCAATGTTGTGCACGTGACATTTTTTAAAATTAAATAAACAGCTGATGCAAATAAAATCCGCTATGAACAGTGTACGGGAATATCACGACAGCAATTTTCCTATCGAGAAATTAATGAATTTCTAATTAAGTCCTTTATTTATGAAGCGTATTCAAGACAAAATATGAATTAAAAGATGACTATTCTTCGCAGGAATTCTTGTGATTCCGGGAAATTTTAAAGTCAATTCCCATATCTCAGGAAACAAAGAAATGCGAAAATATAAACACTCTAATTAGTAATTACCAAGGTATAATGGACATATGGACGGACGGACGAACGGACGTACATATGTATGTATATCTATCTTAATAGACTCTTGGCCATTGTTATACCTTACATGGTTGTTTTAATTATAGTTTTTCATGACACACCCCACTTTATTAATTTTAACACTTTTCTTAACATACCCAATGTCAAAAGGCCCAGGATAAATGCCCAAAAAACATCACCGAATGGTAGACCAGCTACAAAGCCACCAATAAAACCGATTACTATACGGAATGTATGACAAAAAATACCAGCCGCCGCCGAATATATCCAAGGTTTCATTAATGACTGACGTCTCTGAAATTGCAAAACGAAATAGTTAATAATAAAATATATAATTTATTTCAATAAGTTTTCACCTTAACAATACCCGCTATGAGTAGACCAGATATAATGATGGCTATTACACATATGACCAAAAGTATATAGAGTAGAGTCACGGATGTACTTAATACGTCATCATATTCACGTTTGTCTGAATTGAATTTAAATAACAACAGTTGGTTAAACTAAACTGTATAAAACTCTCTCCAGAATATTTACCCTCCTCCGATAAACCACTAAAATCACACAATACAGTTATAATATAAATAACAGTCACGCTAAAACCGAAAATATTTATAGCGCCTATAACAACACCCAGAGTAGAACGACTCAAACACTTCATTTTGTTTTTTACTCTTTATTAATTTTAGAAAATAAATTAAATTTTTGTTCTTAATTAAAATATTAGACGAAATATTTTAGTTGCGTTTGAAACTGCTGCAGACACGTCTCGGTTGAAAACTAAACAGACATTTTCGTTGCAAATATAAGTGACTGTAGAAGTAAGTGGAGAAAATATGTACGTCTTACGTTTGCGTACTAAACAGGAGCATATAAATCCTACTGTACGACCTATTAACTACAGTATTCGGTTGTTATGAGAGTATAAATAAGTTGACTATGGGAACGTGTAACTTGGTTCATGAACAATTTTGGCTGTAATGTTATCTCAGTCTCATCATGTTTTTATCATGAAGTTTTAACAAAATTTGGATCCGGAAGAAGTCTGAGATCTTCAGAAAATTTTTAAAATCAACTTTGCTATATATAAGAACTTTGAATATTAGGATCTCAGGATTAAATTGTATAAATTGTAAACAGATACTAACTTACATATTTATACTAGAGTTCTATAAATCGACTTTCGAATAATCGAACAATCGACTTTTTGTCGAAAAAAGTCGAAAAGTCGAAGTCGACTATTTTGTTCCAAAAAAGTCGATACTCGACTATCGTCTGTGAAAAAAGTCGAAAAGTCGACTTTGTTAATAAAAGTCGAAAAGTCTGAAAGACGAAAAGTCGAAAAAAGTCGAAAACTCGAAAATTTTAGAAAAAAGTCAAAAATAGTCGAAATTTTTAAAAACGTGGAAAAAAGTCAAAACCTCTAAAATAGTCGGAAAAAACTTGAAAAAAGTAAAAAAATAGTCGAAAATAGTCAAAAAGTCGAAAAGTTGAAAAAAGTCGAAAAATCGGAAAAAGTCGAAAAGTCGACTATTTATAAAATATTTATAGTCGAAAAGTTTAAAAGTCGACTTTTAATTAAATGAAAAAAGTAGAAAAATCGACTTTTCATTAAATGCAAAAAGTCGATTTTTAGTTTCAAATATAGAACCCTAATTTATACGTATCTCGACGTTGAAGGTTAAATTCACTATAGCCAAACACAATGGATAAACGAAAATTGGTACTCCATATATAGCCAGACTCCAATAATGAGAAAATGCGGGACACGTGCTCTTCTTAAATTTTGTGACTTCGTGTTGAGTATTAAATATTCGGCAAAATCGCTACAACCACCAATACAAATATACATACATACATGAACTGCATACCAATGTTTGAACAGTATAAGTAACCCACACAAATATTAAAAAAATTTAACTGGTGATGTCATATAAAATTAAACAATAGGGATACAAGTCTTCTTTGATATAAAATTTATCAAATTTCAAATATACATCCATAGATATACATATCTACTATTATCGATGTGAGATCGAATTTCTGTTCTAAATGCAACGAGTAGGAAAGTATAGTCGGGCATGGCTAACCCCATGTGTAGGACAAAAATCAGTACAAACTCATAATACCCTACCCACAATAGTGGTGTTGGGTATAAAACTTAAAGTTAGTTAGCTAGTTAGTTAGTTAGTTAGTTAGTTAGTTAGTTAGTTAGTTAGTTAGTTAGTTAGTTAGTTAGTAGTTAGTTAGTTAGTTAGTTAGTTAGTTAGTTAGTTAGTTAGTTAGTTAGTAGTTAGTTAGTTAGTTAGTTAGTTAGTTAGTTAGTAGTTAGTTAGTTAGTTAGTTAGTTAGTTAGTTAGTTAGTTAGTTAGTTAGTTAGTTAGTTAGTTAGTTAGTTAGTTAGTTAGTTAGTTAGTTAGTTAGTAGTTAGTTAGTTAGTTAGTAGTTAGTTAGTTAGTTAGTTAGTAGTTAGTTAGTTAGTTAGTTAGTTAGTTAGTTAGTTAGTTAGTTAGTTAGTTAGTTAGTTAGTTAGTTAGTTAGTTAGTTAGTTAGTTAGTTAGTTAGTTAGTTAGTTAGTTAGTAGTTAGTTAGTTAGTTAGTTAGTTAGTTAGTTAGTTAGTTAGTTAGTTAGTTAGTTAGTTAGTTAGTTAGTTAGTTAGTTAGTTAGTTAGTTAGTTAGTTAGTTAGTTAGTTAGTTAGTTAGTTAGTTAGTTAGTTAGTTAGTTAGTTAGTTAGTTAGTTAGTTAGTTAGTTAGTTAGTTAGTTAGTTAGTTAGTTAGTTAGTTAGTTAGTTAGTAGTTAGTTAGTTAGTTAGTTAGTTAGTTAGTTAGTTAGTTAGTTAGTTAGTTAGTTAGTTAGTTAGTTAGTTAGTTAGTTAGTTAGTTAGTTAGTTAGTTAGTTAGTTAGTTAGTAGTTAGTTAGTAGTTAGTTAGTTAGTTAGTTAGTTAGTTAGTTAGTTAGTTAGTTAGTTAGTAGTTAGTTAGTAGTTAGTTAGTTAGTTAGTTAGTTAGTTAGTTAGTTAGTTAGTTAGTTAGTTAGTTAGTTAGTTAGTTAGTTAGTTAGTTAGTTAGTTAGTTAGTTAGTTAGTTAGTTAGTTAGTTAGTTAGTTAGTTAGTTAGTTAGTTAGTTAGTTAGTTAGTTAGTTAGTAGTTAGTTAGTTAGTTAGTTAGTTAGTTAGTTAGTTAGTTAGTTAGTTAGTTAGTTAGTTAGTTAGTTAGTTAGTTAGTTAGTTAGTAGTTAGTTAGTTAGTTAGTTAGTTAGTTAGTTAGTAGTTAGTTAGTTAGTTAGTTAGTTAGTTAGTTAGTTAGTTAGTTAGTTAGTTAGTTAGTTAGTTAGTTAGTTAGTTAGTTAGTTAGTTAGTTAGTTAGTTAGTTAGTTAGTTAGTTAGTTAGTTAGTTAGTTAGTTAGTTAGTTAGTTAGTTAGTAGTTAGTTAGTTAGTAGTTAGTTGGTTAGTTAGTTAGTTAGTCCTTTTACCTGAATAATTTTTAACGACAAATTATTATTATTTTTTTTTTTTGTTTAAACAATGACACAATTTATTATAAAAATATTATTATTTATATTTAATTACATATGTATATAAATATATATTTTTAACTGAACATTCTAACAAAACAAATTATATATTTATTCCCATTAGTATTCATTAACATTAAAAAAAATTACATCAAAATGTTTATATTTAAGAAATAAGATTTAATATTATTTATAAACACTATCTAAATTTTGTAATTTTTCGTAAAATATTTGGCCCAAACATTTTTATTGTCCGTTTCTAATAAGTAAAATAAATATTGAGTTTAACTCTGGTTTATAATGGTTATTAAAACAAAACTAAAAAAATTACAAAAATTGTCTAAATAATTATTATTTAAAATATCTTAGATACCTAATTAATAACAATAGCAATAATATTTAAATAATTTATATTAAAGTTATATAGGTAATATACGAATTATTAGGATGACATATAAATAAGTACGTATAAATATTTTAAACCGTAATAAATGCATAATGAAAATTGTAATTTCTTGACAATATAGTAGTTCGGTTATTTTTATAAATATTATAGATTAGTTAATAAAAATTAATTATACATTTCTTCACCCTTTTCCAATTCCCCATAGCTGGGTGGATTTTGTGGAACAATATTTAGTCCCGTTTGTTCTTGATAATTGCTGGCATCTCGTATATCCGTGTATAGGGTATAAATTGGA